CTGAGAGTGGAAGAAGATCCTGACTGGATATTCTGGGAGTTACAGACTAAGTTGGGGAATACTGGTACGCAAACCCCATGAAGCCACATTGGTTGCTTTGTTTGTGGCTTAGCATAATATTTTATATTAAAACAAGAGAGAGCTTTAGGGTAGTTGTCCATTTCTCATTATACTTAATTTACTTATAATGACAGCAAATCTTCCAAATGAAATTAAAATAATTTAAAGATAATGCATTTTCTCTTTAAAAAATCTGCAGAATACATTATTAAACTTCAAACAAAGTTAACATTAAATATCAACACTTCCCTGTAAACATAATTAAATTAGGGCCCCAGATGTAAAAAGAACCTGTACAGAGTACACTAATCAAAAACTGTAATATTAATTAGAAGTAACAGCAATCCTACAAAGACTTGAAATACTGTTTGTTCCATGTTATCCTGGAAACATTTTTGGAACACAGGAGACTACAGAGCAGTTTGACCAAAACTTTATAGGAACATTATAATTGCAAACAGCAATTTTGAACCCTAATCTCCTTTATCCAATTCCTGTACATTCAGACTGACTCTTATCACCCTATGAATGGACCAAAATGATAGACTGTTCTGATTTACTTCTAAGAAACTAGCTGTGTGTCACATGAAAATATATAAACAATCCCTGAACCTACATTGCAATAGCTCCTAAAATGTAAGGATACCCTGGCTAAAACATGCAACAAACAGGGTTTCAGAACATGTGATAAATAAATAAATAAATAAATAAATGCATGCATGCATGCATAGTACAGGAGGATTAAGTAGCAATCACCTCAAAGAGTTCAGTGTTTTAATTCATCCTATTTCCCACCAAAATATTAGGTGCATTTACAGGCTCACAGTACCATCTTACTGTTCTTATTTCAGTGTGCTTTACTCTCAAATAGATAAATAATAATGATAAATGGGGCACAATTAGTTTAGCACTCTGTTGCAAAATGAGTTTTGTGAGAGAGCTGCAAACCAACCTGCTCTCCTCTTTTTGCAAGCAAACTTTCATGCACTTCCATGAAGAATAAGTAGTTTCTTTTTTAAGTTTGGATTATCTTATTTTAAGGGTTTTTGATATCTTTTAGGATACAACCCACTTAAACGAAATACTTAGTAAGCATGATAAGATACAGTGTCACCAGCTCCATAACTGAAGAAAGCACTGAAATCCAACAGCACCTCACTAAAATTAAAAATTAACTAAAAAATTTTCAAATACCAAAACAACCATAAAACTTCTAGGAAAAAGTAAAAAGAAACTGATCTAAAGCTGCCTCTCAGGCTTAAATTGATGAATTCTTTGAGAACTTGGTTCAGAATTTCCTCAGTTCAGGTTTATGACTTATAATACAAGTTCCTGTTTCTTGTATTTACCAACCTGAGCAGTCCTGCTAGCAGGTTAATGAGCAAGGTCTTGGAAGTTGGTTTTAAAGTACAGTACAGAAAGATTAACTACATAATCTCTGATATAATTTTAAAAAATCTGCTTATTCGCACACTCTGAATAGTAATTTGAATTTTAGAAACAGGGAACTTGCGGCTGAAAGGGTGGGTGTGATGTCTGTGGGATCACATCTACTTGAGATTTGAACCAACTCTTTAAAGCGTAAGCATTAACTCTCACAAGTTCTCTGTCATTCAGCATTTCTGAATTAACCAGAAGTTTCTTTTGAGTAAACATGCAAAGAATTAGGATGCATTTCTTAAATCCTTCATTAATTTCTTTCAACACTTTGCTTCTAAACTTTTTTTTGTTTAGAAAAGCTAATTTAGGGATGTCCACCTGAGCAGTAAACCATGAATCACAACTAACAAACTATGCTGATTGAACCAAAATAACCAAATCCATTCAGGTTAAAATGTTCTTAAGGTCATCACATTAAGCCAACAAGTGCATATAGTTTGTTCATTTTAGCTTCACATGTTGCCCAATACAGTCACTGTAGTTCAAGCAATCCTGGTCCATCAGAGCCTGAGGAGGTGACAGCCATCTACTGCTCTGATTTGGACTCCAAATCCAAGCACGGTTTAGCACCTGGTTACTACTTGGACAGGTTTGCAGGCTAGGCTGGGGAGTCTGAAAACATCGCAGAAGAAAGCAAACTCCTTCTATTCTCTTGCCAAGAAAATGACCTGGACCATGAAGTTAGCAGCATTTCTAGAGGATTTAACGAAGCCTTTCTTTAAGTCTAGCAGAAATATTTGCATTGTTCTTTTTCCATCCAAGAAGCAAAAACAACACTATTTTACTTCTCCCTAACACCATTCTGGCCAGGTTCACACGTTCATAAAGTGGCTTGTCTGTAGCTCAACAGCCAACTTTGATGGTAGACCGCG